ACTGTACTTAAGTACAGTAACGAAGTACTTGTACTTCGTTACTTCCCACCACTGAATAAACCCCACCTCATCCTAGCACCAACATTTTTTTTAATTGGAAAATATATATGTACTTTTTTCTAAACAGCCATGTTTCCATTAAGCAAATTTATTCTTGAAAATGTCAAATTGCATAGTCATATCATCAGGAAACTCAGCTACTTAAACCAACCCACTGTTGAAAAGCGGTGCTCTGTCATGATTGTCACATTACTGACAACTTTATTTCAGGTGCCTGCAGCTAAGATTGAAAAAGTCAAACAGCAGAGGTCTGCAACGCTCAGAAACGATACCTGCAAACGCTACTATCTTGACCACGTGGTCGTCCTGGACGTCGTGGCTCAGGATCTCCTGCTGTTCTCTCGTGAGATGAATCTGAGGGAGTCTATCGCAAACACACAAAGACAAGACGGAAACTCTTAAAACCCTCTTGAGATTTCACAGAAACAAGTTAGGACAGAGTTTGAATTTCATTAACAGGTTCCTTTGTGCATGTATGGAGATTCTTTTGCAAATTTCACTGTAGTAAAAATTAAAAAAGAGAAGACTGTCGGGGATTATTTATTGGTGCTGATTGGATAGGCAGTTTAACTTATCGGACAGATACTCATGCTAAAATAAATCACTAAAACCAGCCGACACAGATGTTGATGCCCATATATTGTGCAACAACAGTTAGAATTATTATTATTATTATATACTTCATATTTAAGTGCTAATAAAAGCCAGAGTCCTTTGGACTCACCCGTTCTGGTTAGAATTGGTAGAAAATGGACCGTTTTCCAGCAAGTAAAGAACGTAGTAGATGTTGTAGTGTAACCTGAGAAGGGGAGAAAAAAAAAGAAAAAAAAAAAAACATTGTCAGGCTGAACAGAACCACATCTGAACATCAACATCACCACCTGCTAGTCTCACCTGTAGCTAATCTTGATTTTGTTCCTCTCCAAAGCGAGCAGCATCATGGCCATGTGGCTCAGATACTCTGTGATGGTGGTCAGCGACATGCAGCGGGAGAGCAGAGAGACCAAGGCCTGCACGTCGCCCACGCTCTCACTCAGGACCAATATGACCGCCATGGCTGCGTACGGGTTGGGACCCTAGAGGTCAGACAGAAACCTTGCCAGTCGGGTTCACAGCGTAAAGATCTAAACCGGCTCCTGGACCTGCGACGGAGTCGTACCTCAATGCCAAGGGGGAGAAACTTCTGGATGTCAGGAATGCGAAGCCTGATGGTGGCTTCGGCCTGAGGGAAGAGCCGGTGTTTCTTCACGCAGCTCAGGACGTCGTCTGGCTTCACGCGCTCGCCGACTTTATGCTGAGCCATTAGCCTGAACAACGCAAAAAAAAAAAAACATAAGAAAAACTGGAACACCTGTGTAAGATCTGCCACAGTTGATCCCAAACGACACTGAAGGGGGAGACTTACACCACGAGGTTTCGGATGCTGTGCTCTGAAGGTGCAGGGCAGGTGATGTTACTGTTTTTCAGAGTGGAGCAGACCTCCAGCACCGTCTCCTTCTCTTTCATCATGTAGCGGAAGTATTGCTTCTTGAAAGGCACAAACTGAGAAACGGAGCGGCGGAACGTTTAGACAGTTTTTTGGGAGTAGAATCTATAAAACATGCTAGTAAGTTTAAAGGACAGCATCGGTGTGTTTTCCAGGCACATGGTGCCATTTTACAGCACAATAAAGTAAGAATGTTACATTCAGTTGTAATAAAAATGCTCTATATATCTAATATGAATTAAAAGAAATTTTGCTTTGTAATTTAACACTTTGAAATTGGGCCTCTGTCTCTTAAAGAAACTCCACCTTCAGGAAGTCATCACAGCATGGCTCCTCATTTAACCCGGTAACGGTTTTACCAGCAGTTGATGAGCACAGCATGAGCTCAGTGCCACCAGGTGTTGCTAATTGCTGCTGGCTAGTCTGAAAGAGTTGAGTGGGGGAGTCATAGGGAAGGGCTGGTCTGTGAGGTGAAAGGTCAGAAGCTACAGCCCAGAGGAGGAGCTTAAACTGCCTTGCTGCTGAAATGTGACTTGACAATAAGAGAACCTGCTGCTGCCGGTTCAGGTTCGGGTCGGTCGGTCTCACCTTCGGGTCCAGAACGATGTTCCTCCAGCGATGGCACACCAGGCAGACGTTGCGATAAAGGTCGGCGGCGGGAACCAGACACAGCACCTCCCTCAGCACCTCCTCCGGGAGGTCGTCCACGCAGCCCTGCGGGCGCAGCAGAACCTTGTCGCTGCTCAGGAGTCCAAAGTGGACGTCAGGAAGAGGCTCCACCTCCCCTTCCTCCTCCTCGAAGTCGTCAAAGTCCTCGTCGTCTCCGAACATCTCCGCCGTCATTCCCTCCAGATAGTCCGCCTCTAGCAGACGGGCCTCGGCGGAGGAAACCTTCTCTGGCAACATTTCAGCAGCTAACAGACTGTCGTCGTCAATCTCGTCCTCGGCGATGACCTCGGCTCCAGTCGGGGTGGCCAACAAGCTAACGTCATCGTCCTCCTCCTCCTCGTCATCCTCGAATACGACCCCCGGCCCCGCTCTGTGCGCTGATGTGGAGGGCATGGCGGAGGATTTGTGTGGACTGGAGCTGATAACTTTTGTTACCGAGAAAAAGTCATGAATAGCCTTCTGCTGCCCAGATGGACTTCCTAAAACAAACGGACCTGAAAAATGATAGAAAAGAGTAGAGAACTTCAATTTCTTTTTTTTTTTTTTTGAGAGTCACATACAGTAATTAGGTGAAATAAAAATATACGGCTCAATACAAGGGTCAGTATTTATGTGTAGTTTTGCAAACAGTCTCTCTTAGAGGTGGGGCTGGGTGACGAATCTTAAAAAAAATAAAATACCAAACGTTTCATGCTAGATCCAATTTTAATCTTTTATTTTCTCGTTTTCTTTTACTAAAAGTAGACGTTATACATGACCAAAATTATTTTGAAAAAGCAGCTTTTATTTCAATCACCCCTTGCTTTAGTTGTGCGACAGAGTATAAGGGCCAGGCTATGAGAATCTCTGGTTAATTACTAGAATATAGTCATAATGTTATCAGAACAAAGACACTGATTCACCAGAAACGTCTTGAAATTATATCAAAGGCCAGCTACAAAGAAACAAGATGGCCGTCCTGGCATCACTCTGAGCTATAGAAACACACTGGCAAAAATAAATAAATAAAAAAATCCAAAAATTTAATTGTCCAAAATGCAAAAATTTGATTAATCCCGAAAATCAATTTATTGTCCCTCTCTACTTACTGGATATTTGTGTTATTTTGTCAATGTTTGAAACCTCAGCAGTTTATTTATACAGTTTGAAGGCAATAAAGTTAAATTCACAAACAGGGAAGGCAAGAACAGATTCGGTTCAATCAAAAGATTTTCCTAAAAGGAACTTGACTGTAGCAATTAATTAATTTTTTTTTCACCACCACTGTTTATTGATCCCCATATCTGTTCCACATGGTCATAGTTTGGAGTGCATTACCTTTCCGCCGTTGCTTTGTGGGGGTTCTGGGGTAAAGGCCCCAGTTGGGGTCTCGCCTGCCCCGCGCTGCGTTGCGTCTGGTCAGAGCGTCTGTGCCGTCTTCGCTGCGCTGCAGTTCGTCACATTCCTGCGCATTCAGGTGCTTCCTTTTGGCTCTCCCTGGAAACACAAATACAGTAATTAAGAAATAAACAGAACACTTTCCAACACAAAAGTTCAGATGTATTCTGTGACATCATACTGGTCAGTCAGGAATTTTATAAATTGGTTCAACAAGGGAGCCAGTTTCCTTAGATACAACAGGGCATTAGGGACTTTCTAGAGTAAATGGAGGAGTACATTTTTGACAAAAAAGCGAGAAATTCTGAGATTAATTTAAAATATTTTCAAAAATAACATTATAGGAAAATGTATAATTTTGATACAGTCATGTTGCAACTTCTTCCTCTCAGTCACAGGCATTTATTCCGGATCCTTTACACAGTCAGATGTTGTTCTGACCCTGGATCTACACTTACTTTTTCAGATTCCTATTTCTTAAATTTATCCCTTCAGTCTAAGAGGATTTCCAAGATTTGGTTTTAAATGTCTGACTTTATAAACTCAGTAAATGTTAAAGTTTACTGTACAATGTCCGGAAATTTTGTTTCAAATGTATGCCTTTAATCACGGAAAACTAGTATTGTCATAACTTTGCAGCTTTTAGACATTAGAGAGTATCCATGTTTTTTTTTGTAAATATGTGGAATTAATCTAAAACTTATTTTTCCGCCTCCCACTCATGGTCAATTTTTGTTATTTAATTGTTTTCTCTTTTAATCTATAAAGGTCCTAATTACTCCATTCTACTTAAATATTCTTGTCAAGAGCTTCAGTTCTTTTTTTGTATTTTACTTCCACAGAACAGGTTTAAACATCTCTGTTGTTGCTCTCAAAAGTGTGCAAACTGCTGTTTTAAATTTGGGGACTTAAAAAAATGAAACCATGACAGATTATGTTGACAGTTATTTTAACTTTAACAAAGCAAACCCTGTGTTATTTTTATCATTCAAAAACTGGTTTATTAAGGAGTAAATGTAACCTGGTTGCAACAGTGGGCATAGTATTAAATTCATTCTTTGTTGAAGCAACTTTTCCATCAGTTTCAGCATTTACCATACGCTCCCTCTGTTTCTGTCACTCATAGAAACCATCTTTTGATAACAGCATCTGCCTTCGTTAAAAGCACCAGTTCCAGAGGAAAAAGTAACCACAGATCATAATGCTGCCATCACCATGTTACAGAGTTACTACGGTTTTCTTTCTGCTTCTGTTCCAAACCTTTCATCCAGTTTTTGTCAGGATAACAGGTACGAGAAAGGAAACCAGACACAGATCTTTCCAAGTAAACTTTGCAGTGTATTCTGGTGGATCCCAAACCGGAAGAGACTCTAGAGAAAGTTCTGTCTGTCCCAGGGGTCTCATCAGAACCACCTCAACTGGGCCTTTGGATCCAGAGGGGTAGGTAACTTTTTCTCTCTCTAACCAGTCTGTGTCAGCGAAATACTGAGACCAATGTTACTTGTAGCGCTTAAAACAATAACACAGACTGTTGTCCAGCCCACAACAGATGGACAGAAAACTTTCCAGCCTTAAAGAAACATGTAAGACAATATTTTTGAAACAATCTCTTATAATTTTCTTAGTGAAACTCACCTTTAACAGCCACCTCCATCTTGGTAGCCAATACATGCGTCGCTTCGTAACAAAAGCAACAACACTCAAACCGTGTCTGGTACTCGGTTAACTTCTACGGTTGCTAAATAAAAATGCTAGTTTATTTCTCTTCCTGCTGTGACATTTTCTCTCCCTGTTTTTATACTGCTTAGAGAAACCAGTTTTAAAAAGTAAAAAATGGTGTCTTCGTTGCTGTTGAAACGGAAAGGTAAAGATTTACATCTAGTTTTAAGAAGCGTCCTGCTTTCAAACATTCTGCAAAATCCAAGCAAACGTTCGGTGGCGTCACTGCCACATGATTGGTCAGTTTGTTCTTCCTTGAATTCTATTGTTATGTGGAAAAAGCGTCCCACTTGTTCAGAATCGCCACCTGCTGGAAGGTTGGGATTTGGAACTGGAGTGTCTTTTTTTTTTTTAACTGATGTAGTCTTAAGTATTCTGAAAACAATTACACGTAACCTCACTGAGGTGTTAAAAAACATTCTTATTTATTAGACCATAAATACATTTATAAATACATAGAAAAGTGTTGTGTGAAAAACTCATTTGCCATGGAAGTAGCTCAAAATAGTTGCTTTCTTTATGAATTTATTAGAGTTTTACATCGTAATTGAGTAATTTTGACTCACTCTTCTTTACAATGTGACTTTAATTCAGGTTTGCACGGACTCAGCATTTCAATCAGGTTGAGGTATAACTGCCTCCACCAAAACTAGCTTAGATAAAGCACACTTCCACCACCACTCACCACTTTGATAGCTGGGATGTTGTGTTTGGTTTCTGGGAAAACATGGCGCTGTGCATAATATATGTGAGGGGTAATTTTCTACATTTACAAGGAAATATAGTCTTATGCTTTTATTCTGAAAACAAAGATGTTTACTTCCGCGTGTATCCTTTTGAACTTGACACGCCTTCTCGATGGTCCAAGAGTCTATTTCTATTTAAGTGATACTGTAGGCTGTACTGCGCATGATCGAGATAACAGGCGAATGAGGTCGCTGTCATAATATAGCACATGGAAAACTTATTGATATTTTTAGTGAACTGTTCCATAATAGAAAAAAAATACGGTAGATAATAAGAGAGGCAAGATTATTTCTCTGACTTTTCCTTTCAAACTCTGGCAAAAGTAATACTACTGCGATGTTTTCATGAACACACATTACAATTAGGAATAATGGGACAATTTACACTCAATAGTCACTTTATTGGGTACACCTCTTCAATCGCTTAAACACTAATAGTGAATCAGCCAATCACATGACAGCAACCCAAATCATTTAAGATCTATCACAATCCACGTCTTCACCGTCAAGTACAAGGAAATTGCATCTCGGTGTAAATGATCTACCCATGCTATGATTTAAAAACAGTCACTAAATACCAAATACACAAAAACTGATAAATATTATATAAATAAAACTGATATATTTTGAGTCATGATTGTTCATAGTGCAATTAATCACTATAATTAGAATTGCACAGATTAGTAAGAAAAGGCACTAAAGGCTCATAGATGAGTGATTATTGCAATGGCTTTTGGCATTCATGCCGTCTTTCCCCACTCTAGTTGTTTGCACTTTTTTAATATTAGGAAAAATACTACTTATTTACAGGGGCTTTAAAAAAATATTGACGTCATTCTGTAAGCAACTGTTAAAAGCAAACTGGATAAGATCAAAGAAAACTGTAAAAAGTAAACAGTCTTGACAGCAAAGTCCAACAAAAATGAGCTGAAGTTGTACTGAAGTGTTGAAACAAGACAAATCAAAACAGATTTTAAAGCATTTCTGCTTTTTAGGAAATCAAGAAATTAGCGCAAGTAGTCTCAAAATGTTTACAAAAATTTTCAATTGTCATCCGTTTTCAAACTGTAACACGTGAATCCAATATTCTCCAGCGAAGGCTAACGTCACAAAGTCTGAATCGTCGTCTTCAGTAGATTAAGACTCTCCAGTTCCAGTTTCACCTCGTTTGAACTGTAAATAACAGAGAAAAGCAGGTTTGCATGTGCAGCATCTACTCACACAATTCTCTCTGTAAGCAATTACAGTAAGAACTTACATTACCAAGGAACTAAGCATCTGCCCCATTCCTGTTTTTGCTTTTTTTGTGATAACTTCAGTGATGATCAAACAAATAAACAATAAATGATACTCAAAGTTCCGATGTTTTTGTTAAACGTGAACAGGGCCTTTGTGATCTCTCTGGCTGGAGGAGGTTTTCACCTTGGGGCTTTCTCATGGATGCCATTCCATTCAGTCGGTTCCGTTGCTGAATCATGAACTCTGACCTTAACTGAGACATGCAAGGTCTGAGGTGTTTTAGATGTTGTTCAGCATTTTGTTGGAACCTCCTGGATGAGTTGTTGACATGCTCCAGGAGTAATCTTTGGCTCCTGGGAAGGTTCACCACTGTTCCATGTTTTCTCCCTTAGCGGACGATGGCTCTCCCTACCTCTGTAATCCTTTTGAGATGATAGACTTTGTTTCTTATCTTTCTTTGGACTGGGGGCTTTTTAATGTCTTTGGGTTTATTACATGTGGTCAGATGTATTCTTGATTCTAAAAAACCTAGTTGTGAAAGGTAGAAGAAGGTTTAACACAAGTCCAAGTTGAACCTTTAACCTCAATAAGTGAAATCGTTATTTTAATTTTTTTTTGTATTTCCTCAGTTAATCTTGATATTAAAATGTGTTTGATGACCTCAAACCCTGAAGAAATTTTTGAGGGCAGATACTATTTTTTTTTCACAACACTGTAAGACTTCAATCAAGAAGAGTTGGACCTTACCGCATTTTTCAGCAGGTTTCCGGATTTAACAAAGATGCTTGGTTTCTTGAAGGCCAGTTTGTGTGACTCGGTGTTGCTCTGCAGCTGAGACGCCGGTTTGGTCTGGGCGGCGGCCGATGGGAGCGACGACGGCTGTGACAGCGAATGGGACTGGGGCTGTAGGTTGCTCTGGCTTGGGGTGTAAGGCATTGATGAAGTGTAAGGTTGGGTTGGGATGTAGGGCTGTGAGGGTGTGTACGTTTGGGAGGGGGTGAAGCTTTGAGGTGGGGTGTAGGCTTGGGAGGGAGTGTAGGGTTGAGAAGATGTGAACGGCTGAGATGGAGTGTAAGTTTGAGACGGTGTGTAAGACTGAGGCAGTGAGAAGCTCGGCATGCTTGTGAAGGGCTGCGTGTGTGAAAAAGATGAAGACAGTGGGGTGGGGTCCAGCAGGGTAGGCGGTGGAGGGGGAGGGAAGCTATCATCGTCCGGGGACCCCGGGCTTCCGAGCTCGTAGTGCCTCTTCCTGAGCTCCCCAAGGCGGACTCGCTCCTGATCCAGCTGGTTCTCAAGCTGCAGCACTTTGACCTGACAGGTTCAGACAGAACAAAGTTCTCAATCATCCACTTAACCTCTGCATCTCTGACAATTAATCCACAGGCTGCAAAAACACAAAATGTTACCAAGTGTTTTTGGTCTAGTTTCTAGTTCTTAGTACACTTGAAATAAGACAAAACTAACTTACTTTTCAGCAAGTTATAATAAGTCACTTTAAGCTGATAATTCCTTAATATTGACAGAAAAAGTACTTCTTCCACTTGCAGATTATTTCACTTGTAACATGGGAACAATGTCTCATAAGTGAATAAATCTGACATTAGTTTAGCTCGTATAAAAAGTTTTTATTTCTTTTACAGCTATTCATCTGTTGCTGAATTCACTGTTTTTCAGTAAATGATTTTTGTCATTTAAGCTTCAGCTGTGAACTCTCAAACTTAAAGAAGGATTTTTTAAAAACATTCTTATATGTGTTTTCAGCCACTAAGGTCTGGTGTCCTTTATGTTTTAGATGAAGAACAATATAAGTCATCACTAAACCTCTTGACAACTTTAATGACAAGCATAGGAGCTTATTCCACTATTTCATTCAGAGGCATGTCAGGGACAGCACTATGTGTTGACAGAAGGTTCTCCTTCCATTAAGCGTCTGCAAGAAAAACTGTATTTTTCCTCAGATGTCTAACCTGAGCTTCCATTTCCTCTTTCTTGAGTTTGATTAAAGACATGCCAGAGAAGTCCATCACACCTGCAAAGACAAAAAAAGTTAAATGTGAACGTGTCAGACTAAACTGGATCAACAAATAGACTGAGGTTACGAAGCCATTGTTTTTTTTCCCTAAGCTGTTTCTCTGACCGTGGTCGGAGATCTGCTGCTGTCCGTGCTTGGTGGAGGTGACGACTACGGCGGCCATGTCATTCACATGGCGAGAGGCCTGCTGCAGCGTGTACAGCTTCTTGTTGTTGCGATCAGCCTTCACCTGGAACGACAGCAACATTTAGTGCTAAATCCTCAGAAAACATGCTACGACTTTCATTTTAGTCCCTGCTGATGTGGTCTTCAACTACAGATGTGCACAAAGAACTAGGCTGATTATCGGAACCTTGTGGGTCAAAAACGCAAAGATCCGATCTCTTTCTGATCAGTCAACGCAGCATATCTGAGTTGCTGCCGGGCTGAGCTGACAACAATCTTCTGTGTGGAAGCTGTTACTGTGTGATGAAGACTGAAATGTAAGCTGGATTTTTTGGGTCTAGTGGTCTTTATTTGAAAGTTGCTCAGACAGGAAGATGGGTAACGAAAGGAGGGGGAAGACATGTGGCAAACATCTCCAGGCCGGGAATCGAACCTGCAACGGCCGTGTCAAGGACTAAGGCCTCTCTGTGTGTGGGCTGTGCTTTACCCCTGTACCACCGCAGGACCCCAAATAAGCTGTTTTCAGTGTTTGTTAGGTTTGAAAATGAAGTTAGAGCCAGGCAAAGAAGTAAGACGCAAAGGAGTCTGCTTTGACATCTATGCATCATGCAGGCTGCCAGGGAGCGAGAGAGAGCAAGACAGAAAACCTATCCAGAGTACACACTGGCTGCTCTCTTTTATTCCCTTCAGCTTTCAGCCTCTGTCTGTCAAGGAATGAGCCGAGTTCAGAAAAGATGTTTTAGTTTCAGTAGCAACACTGAAGTTTCTGGAAACAGTTTGAGTCGTCTCACCTCCAAATATAAATAAATAATGACCGTTAATGGCAAATAAACTGGAAAAAAGTGTTTAATGTGTTTTTTTAAATCTACATTTAGATTTATTTTATGTTATCTTACAGATCTCAGCATCTCTATTTAAAGTTAAAAGCGTATCTTTCAGAGATGGATGTTTTTTAAAATGTCAAAACTTTTAACTCGAGTTTGTACCTTGGACGCAGCAACCAGCTGTGCGGTGCTTGCGGCGATCTCATGGGACGAGGCAATGAGCTCCTCATAAAATCCTTTTTCTCCCACAACCCGGTCAGCCGAGTCTCTGGAAGCAAACAGGTGACCGCGGGAAACCGAGTCAGCAGAGAATTCTTCACACGTTTCTGTAACCTTTAATGCTCATTTCTGAATCGGCAGATCATCCTCACAGCAGCTGAGTGGCTCCCCAGCCCACAGCTTTGGACGCTGAGATGAATCCTTCAGTCCACCGAGAGTTTTTGGCGTAGAACTCAGTGACAGTCGCCGCCCCCTGCAGGCGAAGTGAGAACATAGCCGTTTAAACGTTTCAGATGGAAAAGCATCACTTTATATTTCATACAGCATCAATTTACATCAAATCAAATGTGAGAAATATTTAGTAAAAAAAATAAAATTAAAGATTTTTTGTTGTCATAAATTTATAAAAGAAGTTAAGATCTAAGGTTATTTGTAAGATTAGAAATCAGATGCCACAGATTAAAAATTTTAAAGATTAAAGATTTTATTTGCCAATGATTTTCGTTATGAAGAACCAAAACAGACAGGAGATGATTGAAGATAAGAAAACTTCATTTCATTTTCAAAAGTTACAACAAAATGAGAAAAATACGTCAAAACAACAAAATAAAACAAGCCTTAACTTTTGAAATACTAAAAATAATTAAATGCTAAACTTAAGGAGATCTGTTTCTCCGCAGAGAAATTGATTTATTGTAAAATTTAAAATGTAAAATTTATTCTATTGTTTGCATTTATTGTGATTGTCACAATAAAATAAGATTTTATCGAACTCTTTGGGTTAATGTACGGTCTTATAACCTTGAGCAACTTTTTAGCTTAATTCAAGTTTTATATTTATTTAGTTTTTTCAACTTTTGTCTATATTAAGGAGTAAATTATTCTGAAGAAAGTTAATAAATGAAACAACAAATACACTTTTTTTTTACCTTAAATGAGCTATCTTGAAAAAACTGATCAAAACAAAGAAGAAAATAAATGTAGAGTAAAATTTTATATGAATCTTCTCACAAGTAACAGGTGAAATAAACTAATTACATTTATTCAGTCAGTACATGAAATAGTTTTTTTTCTTTAAGCTTTTCTATTCCAATCAGTGATGTTTGATTTAATCTGAATAATAATTATCTCCAGGTTACAATACAGAAATATGAGGCAGTGAGGGGAGCTTGAAGAACCAGATTTGGTCTATTTGTTGAAAAAAAAAAAACAAACATCATATCTAGCCTGTTTTCTTACATTTCAGACCATTTCTTACTAAACTTTCATGAGGCGAGAAGCCTTTCTCAGATTTTTCTCTAAAAATTAACCGGCCTCCTTTCAGTTAAAAAAAATAAAGACATAAAAGAAGAGAGAAATGTGTTCAGTAGGTATCTATAGAAAGTCTGGCTTTAAGGTTTCTCTCCAACTCACCCTGCCTCCTTCCACGATGTCTTTCTGTAAGTCGGTAGCAGCAGTGACCAGGATATGAACAGCCTGAACGTGATAAAAAAACAACAACATCCTGTTGGCGTGTTTTCGTTAAACTGAGTTTCCAACGAGCAGCTGGAGTCAGAGACTCGTTACCTTCATCAGATCTGAACAGGATCCCAGGATGCTGGAAGAAAAACAGACAGGTGACGTTTTTTTTATACATTTACAACTTCAACTGATTTTATTCTTTCCTGATTGATTTTTTATTTGCTTAAAAATTATGATTATTATGAAGGAGGAAAACTTGTTTTTCTTTCTTACCTCTGGTTGACTTCCAGCTTCAGACCGGTGGTGTCTTTCTTTGCTTGGGACAGAATCTCCTAAAAGACACAAATGGAAACAGACAACTGATACATTTCCATAATCCATATTAAGATGTTGGAGTCCCATCAGATTCTACCAACTGATTTAACACTTAATCTTTTGATTAAATACTGAATACTCTGAATATGCTTTATTTCACGCTATAATCATTGTCCATACGTCCATCCGCAGCACAGCCTCCTCGATGGCGGTTGACGTAGCAACCATTTCTTTATCCACCATGCTTCCCAGCTCCTCCTTCAGCACATCCTGTCCTTTGGGCCGCAGCTCCTGAACAACAAATGTATGGGTAAAGCCTTCAGCAGAGCTGCAGCAGCTCAATAGGAAAACAACAGAGATAAAAAAAGCTATGCTAATTTAATATGATGAGTGGACAAGGATCGTCTTATCCATAAAAATCATCAATAATTTCATGCTTACAAGGTAGTTTTCTTTAAATTTTAGTTTCAACTGCAGTAAAAGTCCCTCCTTTCACCTGTTACATGATCTAGTTACAAAAATAAAAACTTATCAAACTGATTGGAACGTGATGTTTTCTGTCCTGTTTCTGGTCAAAATCTTAAATGTATCACCTCGACTGGAATCTAGTTTAGCTCTGTTATAGTTTGTCATGGTTCTGGTATGAAGGTGTAGCAAGGATTTTAAAAAAAGTGACAGTTTTATATCTGCAATTCTGATCAGATTTTGTGATTTCATTTGGCAGAAAGTTTTAACGTTTCGTCAAATTCTCAGATTTTCTCATTCTAAAATGAATTATGTGTACAAATAAATAACCGAATTACAAAAATTACAGATTCAGACAGAAGAAACATTTAGAAATGCATATATATTTTGCAATATAAAACTTGTGAGCCTAATTGTTGCAGTAAAAGTACCTCCAGTGACAATATGGAGGGTTTACTGCGCATTCAGCTGAACTCCAAATGGTGCAACAGGCTCAGCAGATATAAAACAACATGAAAACAACAAAGCTGGTGTTCTAACAAGAAGTCTCACTTTAAGTTAAACTGTATCTGTCTGTTTTTGGTAGATGTTTGGCTGAAGCTGGGTGAAGTTACTCACATCTGAAATATGATATCCAATTAAATGTTACATCCAAGCTGTCCTTCCTCATCGTGACTTAGAAAAAACTGATGTAGTGATAACAACTGCGATTCAATATATCGCGCATCTCCACTAAGACCAATAAGTTTTCAGATTTGTCATTGTGTCTAACACTACAGTTGTTACCACAGCCTCATCAGAGCTGCACTAGTTTTGTTATTGTGATGAATCCCGTTGCCTCTCACCTGACCCATGGCGAGGATTCGCTGGACGGTGTAGCGGATGGCAGACGGGTTTGCTCGCTGTAGGTTGGCCTGAGATTTCAGGTCATTCAGGTACTGCAGGCAGTGGTTGGCACATTCCCGGCAGCTGTCCGTTAAACCTGGACGAGGGCAGAGAACGGCTGAGTGCACAGGAAGCAGCCTCAGAGAGGACCGCGGCGTCTGTAGAGGGTCTTACCGTTAGCGTGGTCGATGGGAGCCGAGTGTGACGTCGCCGAGCCGTTGACGATGGTGTCAGCGGCCATGTGGGAAAACTGGGTGACGGCTCTCAGCAGGCCACTGGCGTCTGGACAGCATCGGGAAAACGAGTCAGGCTCAACGTCCGAGGTCGACATGGAGGCTAACTGCGTGTGTCTGACTCACCGTTCCTGTTTCCCAGGTAGAACATGTGGCTCTGCTGCATTTTATCAATAGAACCCAGAGTGATTTCAGCTCGATTTATCAAATAATCTGGAAAGACAGGAGGGCAGGTGATTTATAGTGGTTCAAAAACACAAATGGACCTTTAAAGGTTTGAAGAAAGGGAGCATTTTATGTCTCTGTGATTTTAAATAGGGGTGTTACGATACCGATGCGATACAAATATGATGCAGATATGATACTGATACGATGCCGATAATGACCTGATACGATATCAGCAAGAATCATACACACTTTTATTACTTATTATTGCAGTGCAGAAAGTTAGAAAAGCTTGATCTAGTGATATTACTCAAACTGAATACAATAATTATGAGAACAACCTATGCATTTATTATTAATCAGTTGGTCTGCATGCCGGATGCAGATGGATAAAAATGTTGGAGTGGATTAAATTCTGGTGTGAACTAAATAACAAAAAAGTGATTATGATAAAGTTTTACAGTAAATATAGACCTCATTTCAATGGGGTTTACTCCTTTACTCTTGATTTTACCTGGTGAATCTGTTAATGCTGCATCAAACAACCAAACTCACCAAATATATTCCAGGCTGAGGCCTTGACTGCATAGTACATAAATAATTAGCCAGCATCTATTGCTACCAGGCAGCTCTTCACGATAAGCATATTGGATTTTGTGATTACGTGATACTGATAAGCTTGCAGCCCTATTATCGGATGTGTTTTAGTTTTTGTCCATGGTTATTTTTGTTTTTGCTACCTGGAGAACTGATGCAGCGGACATGTATGGGGTCGTCCAGTTTGGCCACGGCGTCCAGTATGATGCCCTCGGCCTCCACCACGGCACACTGCAGCAGACAGAACTGCTCGTCCTGCAGCTTCTGGGCCAGCTCGCCCTCCCGACAGGCCTGGGTCACAAAACACAAGCCTTATAGTCGCCAACCGAGTCAGAGCCACGGAGCGCGGCGAGGCGGACGCTGCGGCACCTGCTGCTGCATCTGGGAGCGTAGGCTTCCCAGCTCCATGCTGCTGCGCTGCCTCTCCTGCTCCAGGGTGCTGTGGTGGAGCAGAGCCTGCTGCCTCAGAGAGCTCAGCTCCGCCTCCTGGTCCCGGACCGAACGCAGCAGCGCATCCTTCTCCGCCTGCAGGCCGGCCAGCGTGCTGCTCAGCTGCGTGCCGCTCTAAAGACGGGAGGGAAGAAAAACACACACACACA